AGCGACGGCGAGACATACCTTGTTGCTCCTGGGCCTAGCCCGAGTGAAGGGTTCGTGCTGTCTATCCTTCTGTCTACGCCTTCTACAGACGGGAAGATGATGGACGTTATTGAGGAACCTGCGAACGATAAGAACACAGTGATAACAGCACCTGCGACGCCTCCTCCCACTTCGAGTACTGGTGAAAATCAAACCACTACCTCCGATGCGCCGAAAGATGACCAAAAAACGCCAGTCCCTGATTTACCTCCACCTCAGCCTATATCCGCTTCGCCGCCTTCAGACAAGACAGTGCCTCAGAGCAGTCATACGAAGATCGTACGAAGCAACCTCCAGGATACGGATTTCAAGTTTGAGGAGGATGGTGTCGTTGTGGGTGGGCAGGGTGAGGATGTGAGGGTGAGAGTGGTCCGGTGGAGGTGGTATCTATAATACTTGCAGGCACTTACTATTGGGCTTGGAATTAATATTCATATGGATTTGGCACTGTTACACTTATGCTCTATTCGAAAAGTTGGCAAGTGGTGGTACTAACCTGATTCACTTGCACATCACCTGACTCTGCGGGTCAGATAATTCTCAATTTCATGTAATATAATAGGCATCTCCACACATCTACACATGAAAGCAGCTGTGTGTGCGTAAGGTTCAAGTCATGTGCTCCATGGTCAGTGACAGGGAGGGATTAGCCGGCCTTTTTCTCAGGGACCCTGTTCAGGAAAGAAGACCTTACTACAAAGGGGAGATACTTATTGTGATATCACGCCTTCCACCAATCACAGCGCGGGTGGAGGGGCGTAATCAATTTTGGGCGCGTTTAACTGGTACTATTCTTGGATACACCATGATACAGTATTTAAGCCCAATGGACTCACCATAATCTTCACAACCCAACTCCGCAATGGATTCCACCACAGAACACCCACCTTGTGCTTCAAACGAGTCACATTTGTCTCTCATCGCTACCCCACTCCGAGATGTGGGTGCAACACCCTCTACTCATACTGGTGGTACTCCGCTGCTGAGTCTTACACAACCACCCCCAATCCCCGTTATCATCATACAGAACAACTACATTGCAGAGGGGGGAACCATCAACATACTTTCAAGTAACTGCAACGGTTCCAGTAAGTTCTTCGCATGTCTAACTTACTAGATACTCACCTTGTGGATAAGCCGTGACCAAGTTAGATCACGTCACACTGACTGCGGAGCCTATACCCTTGAGCCCTCCGTTGGTGAGCCAGCCAGAGCCAGCGGAGTACGGTCGTGAAAGCATAGTGTTGAGCGGTAACACGTTCGGCGAGTGCGTCATGATTAATATAGGATCATCAAATTGCACTGGAGCTAGTAGGTTGTTGAGTTCATCTGAAAGAAATATGGCTGAAGATTAATTGCGTCAGTTTAAACAAACTGCTCTTGCGTCCCAGATTGACCGCAACATTTAGGGAGAGGAGTTTACTGGCCTTGTAATGTATTCACCTGTATGCACACGTGTGGAAAGATGTAGTTCATTGGCAATTTTTGAAAAATCGGGACGAGTTGTACTCGCCTAGGCTTAGTGCTCGTGGTTATTTTGATATCTGCCTCCCCAAAGGTAATAGTGAGCTCGCAATAAAGAGATAAGTACGCACGGGAAAAGCGCCAATTGCCCGCCGGTGATCCCGGGACCGATGGATCCGAATGTTCTGCGGTTCCGTGCTCGTGGTCATTTTGATATCTGCCTCCCCAAAGGTAATAGTGAGCTCGCAATAAAGAGATAAGTACGCACGGGAAAAGCGCCAATTGCCCGCCGGTGATCCCCGGGACCGATGGATCCGAATGTTCTGCGGTTCCGTGCTCGTGGTCATTTTGATATCTGCCTCCCCAAAGGTAATAGTGAGCTCGCAATAAAGAGATAAGTACGCACGGGAAAAGCGCCAATTGCCCGCCGGTGATCCCCGGGACCGATGGATCCGAATGTTCTGCGGTTCCGTGCTCGTGGTCATTTTGATATCTGCCCTCCCAAAAGGTAATAGTGAGCTCGCAATAAAGAGATAAATACGCACGGGAAGAGCGCCAATTGCCCACCGGTGATCCCCGGGATCGACGGATCCGAATGTTCTGCGCTTCCTCTGCAAAATGATGTACACTTCAGTGAACATTCGAAGGACATCACATATAGCAGACAGAGCATTGACGCCCCAGAAAAGGCGCGGCAAGGGGTTGCAATAATTATTACTAGCCAGCGTTAAAATTTGCACAGGAATTAGACTCGCCAATATTATAATACCATCGAACCGCTGCATGGACTCCGTGTTCAGGGCTGGAACACAATATGTCCCAGTTTCTCCTTCCTCTAGAGACTAGCAACACGGGCACCAGCAACCTAACATGACATAGAAGTCGCTCCTAGATTCTAAAACCGAAGTCACCAGGCTCCGATAAACCCTGTTCGGGCTCGTTCACATTGGAATCACGCTCGATGACCCCCTTGACCCATAGAGAGCGACATGAACGTCTTCTCGTTACAAAATATACTGATGGTACGGACGTGCAGCGAGCTTTGGAGGTGACTCGGGTGACAGGGCAATGTCAGAGAGTGACAGCAAGTCTTTTGACTAGTGAGTTATTCGGGAATTTTGGATGCCCTGGTGAGACCCTCAGGCCTCAGCCCGCGCGATCATATTCGCCAACAGATGTTGAATCTTCCAATTGAATCGCTGATCGGCAGAAAAGCAGTAGTACTCGTGCAAGCAGGCTGACTAAGCCACTCTGCGCATATTTCAAATTTACAATCAACGTTGCTTTTGCGAGTCCGAGCAGTAAAAACTGCAGTAACGCTTCATGTTCACGTCAAGAATATCATTTTGAGCTCTTTTATGTACAGCTCTTCTACTTCTCTTATATCTCCCCCCCGGCGACTCTGTCTGCAACCAAGTTCCGTCAGGTTTCGGGTTGGATTCTACTCCATTCGCTTTGCATGCACTGGTCTTTGTTTCCCCGCCTATCACCCATCAGCATCTGACTGCACTCCCCGCTGGTCTCTTGGAAGACTCATCTGATGCTCCCACCCCCGCATGTATCTCCTTTCGTACTAAACCAAAGCTCGAACGTTTCATCAGGAGTGGCAAACGAGCACATCCTCTCACTGGATTAAATAATAATCCACTGCCCATCCCATTACCTCCCGTTTTCACCGGGCAATGTCGAACTGTCACTTGGGCTTCTGTTATCAGGGACAGCGAAGTCACAAACTCATCTCGACGGACACAGGTTGCATGATTGGGCTTTATCGTGGGGTAGTGCTCTCCACCACTTCTTACATTGCTCGCAACATGTGTGTGCATGCCGCCAAGATTCAGGTCCCCGAAACATTTATTACAGTTTCATTAGCATCTTCCGTGAGGCAGGCTCGATGTGTCGGACGGGCAGCAAGCTTACGTGCGTATGGCTCGCGTCATTCTAGATTGTTAGTACATTGCAACTTCTACAGAGACGTATTGTACAGACGAACAGAACTTTACAAACGCAGGACATCAACCTCGGCCACTTCACCCCACTAGATGGGGTTAATTTCGGATGCAAGAGCGGTTTGTTTAACTGATGCAGACAATATTAAAGCCCCTGCTCGTCCAAATGAAATAAACTAAACGACCCACCAGCTCTAGTGCAATCTAGCGATCCTACGTTTATCATGACGCACTCGCCGAACGTGTTGCCACTCAATACTATAGTTTCACGGCCGTGCTCCACTGGCTCTGCCTGCCTCGCTGACGCCAGCTGCAAGGGTGTGAGCTCTGCAGTTGTTGCGACGTGATTTAACTTGGTCACGGCTTATTAACAAGGTGAGTCTTCGTTCGGGTGCGTCAGTCATGTGAAGAACTCACTGGAACCGTTACAGTGACTTGAAAAGATGTTGATGGTTCCCCCCTCCGCAATGCAGTTATTTTGTATGATTATAGTACAGTTGTTTGGGTTCGGGGATGGTTGTCTGACATTGGGCAGCGGAGTACCATCAGCCATGGAAATGTGACTGGACGATAGTCTTGGCGTTGCACTAGCATCTGGCAAGATGACAAGAGGCGAACAAAACTCAGTCAAAGCACAGGGTGGGTACGCTCCAGTGGAAGTGCTCATTGCAGAGATGGGATAAGAGCAGCAGGAAGTGCGTTTTTAAAGGTATCACTTAGCGCTTGGCGCCACTTGATTCTTATCGTTTCTCGACGCTTTGTAAATGCAGTCACCACAGCTATCGCACGTCGACGTTCCCGAGTTCGCGACTTGGACATTAATGCCAAGTTATTATTAGAGAATGTATGTAACATCTGAAAGCCGATCAACTCGCCTTGATTGCTAGCTATGGTGGTGACATGCTAAAACTGGATGGATTCCAGGTACGGACGAGCAAGACCTACTATGACGGTCGGATCGTATCTAAATATTAGATCGTGGTAATGGTGGGATACCGTTGCACGCCAAGCGTGATGCGGAGGGTTCGGAAGAGGCTGGCATGAAGAAACATGACCGGGTCTATTCCATTATACTGCAGGACAGCACATCGAGGGCAAACCTGACATTCAATGACATGGTTACCACTCAGTTGCCATATTTTAAGGTAAGCAACCGTGATTGTCGCTTTAGGGCTGCTGCGCACTCACTGGGAGTCTTTGCATGGAGAAACGTGACTGGGTCTAACAATTCCATTATGCAGGACAGTACCTCGAGGGCAAACCTGACATTCAACGACATGATTACCACTCGGTTTAAGGTAGGCAACCGTGGTGATTGTCGCTTTAGAGCTGCCAGTGCTGCGCACTCATTCACAACACATTTGTGGGAGTCTCATGGACCCAGAAGAGCCGTTTGGACGGTGGAGATAGAACACCGCAATGTCACACACTAAGGGGCGCGAATGCCATGTGCTGTTAGTATATCTTGAATATATATGTACCGTTACTTGCGCATCTCAGATCAACTTGATCTGAGATGCGCAAGTAGTTGAACTACAGTGTATAAAGGGCCTGTACCTATGCTGTCACAAACCATATTGCAACATCGTAAATAGATGAGTTCTGTGACTTTCTTCTATGCGAGGTTTCGGTTTGTTAGCTTAAGTGCTTGTTTTAGACCGCAATTTACTAAAGTGCCAGGTATTCGTCTTTATGATAGCATCCATTCATCGTATGTAGAGTGAGCATCGAGTAAGTACATGACAACGTCTGACATAAGGTCGTGAATAACCACACAGGACTAAAAAATTAAATGGCAAAAGTACAATGTCCAACATAGGGTCGTGGGAGACCGCACAGGACTAAGCTCTGATACAAAATGATACAATGTCCAACATAGGGTCGTGAATGACCGCACAGGACTAAGCTCTGATACAAAATAATACAATGTCCAACATAGGGTCGGGAATGACCGCACAGGACTTGACTGAGTGACAAGTCGAAGGAATGGCCCTTGCTTTGCGAAGATGTCATGCTTAGTTTGACATCTTAGGAAGAGCGGTTTGCTTAACTAGTCAGCGGCAAAGGATCATCAAGCTTTTGGATGTTTGGTCAGAGGTAAAAGGACCCACCAGCGCCTGTGCAATCTTGGGATCCTATGTTAATCATGACGTGCTGGCCAAAAGTATTGCCATTTAATATGACGCTCTCGCGACCATATTCTACTGGTGCCAATTGTCTTGCTAACGGAGAATGCGAGGACGTAGGCTCAGCAGTTCCAGCAACATAGTCCAGCTTGGTCACAGCTTGTTTGAAAGGTCAGTCTAAATGGTAAGTTGGATGTGTGAAGAACTCACTGGAACCGTTACAGTTACTCGAGAATATGTTGATGGTTGCACCCTCTGCAATGAAGTTGTTCTGGATGATAGTGATGCGATTGTTTGTGTCCAGCGGTTGACTTGGTATGGGTGTTCCATCAGCTATCGGTGTTCCATCAGAGAAATTGGACTCAGTTGAAGCAAGGAGTATGGCTGCTTCAGTGACGGTCGCCATTGTAGAGATGAGATTGCTGAGAAAAACAGAGGGACGTCCCCCATATTTAAACTAATTCGTTGGTATGATTTGGCCTGTTAATGACACCGAGGACGTACACACCTACGGGACTGACACCGAGGAGTAGAGTTACGACTCGAAGCTGCACCGTGGGTAGGACCCCTGATAATGCCTTTGGAACCCAGGTCAGCGAAGGCCCAAATTTGCATCAGGGAAATTGGTGATTCCTAATTTGACACAATATCACCCAATTCTCGCAGATTGTCGAGGATTCGATACATTCGATTGATATGACTGATTTTTTTAGTCCCCCTACCAATTGTAGACAATTCACCCCAATTACTACCAATACCAAAGCATAAATCTCACATTAGATCCAATTCAAACATCGCGAAAACAATCAAATTCAGGTGAATCCTAGTCAATTTTACTACTAGCGCTCATCACCTACTACTCCTCCAACTCTGGCGTTGCATCGATGTCAAGGAACATCAATGCCTCGTCCGTCTCCAGATCGCACACCACATTGGCCTTGGAGCCACTGCAATACACGGTCAGTAAAATAGCGAGAAAATTAATCGAACGAGCACATACTAGACGGGATGAACTGCATCAGCGTCGGGTAAGCAAGTCAAAAGGCAAGATCACAAACTTCCTGAGAGCGGGACGCAACCGCGGCACCATCAGCATCAGTAAGCAGGTCAAATGACAAGATCACATACATCCTGAGAGTAGGACACCGTTGTGGCACCATCAGCATCCGGTAACTAGGTCAAAAGACGAGAAGACGGCAGATGCTTCATCTGTGGAACTTGGAGACAGGTATTGTATTGAAGAAGATGGAGGGCATAGCAGCAGCGTGCCGAGAATTGAGATTGGCTGTATCGCGAGATGGGCAATTCATAGCAATAGAGATGGAGAGGTCATTGTCTGGCACGAAGAAACTAGCGAATCACTCACGCAACCCATCAAAGCCTATGAAAAGTCGTAAGGATTTTTCAACCGTAAGTCTGTACCCTAGGGCTAGCTGCCATCGCAAATATGATAGAGATGATAATAAGAGAACTGATCGATCGATTCGATTTGCAAAAAAAAACAGATACAAATCCGGAAAATGCCGTGAACTTTCGGAACTCACCAAGTTCAACCTGGCAACATTCCAGCAGTACATACTAATGGACTGGAATTCATCCGATCAATGAAAGTAGCGAGCTCCCGGCCAAACTCGTCATAGTAGGTCGTGTATCCGTCTATCGCCTCAAATGTGGACCTGCAGGAAATCATATTGCCGATGGCACGAGCCCTCTAGAAAAAGGCAACCTTATTCAACCCATCCACGCCTTTAAGTTAATACCGCTCTCAACGGTTCCATCGTGGAGATTGAGACTGACTTGAACGCGAGTGGTTCGAAAGCCTAAAAAGAGGGATAGTGCCTTCTACTGCACTCATAATTATACTTGTATCTCGAAGCGTGTCTTATTTCCTATTTTTTCTAGGACTGTAGTACTAGTGTTCGACAGCTGTCGTCCTGTATCTAAAATTTTTCTCCGATGCATTTGAATTCTTTTTTTTCGATGCGCACATTGGCTCAAACTGTCGAATATTTGGGTCTTTTTGGCACGCATTTGAGAAAATGGTAAAGGATTTTCTATGTTTGATACAATCTGCTCTAATTGTCCCCAATACGAAAAGGGGGTTTTTCCTGATGTGTCCGGATGGATTCTGGCTGATTTTGTCCGGATCCCGTCCTGGGTTTGCCCCAGGAGCGCAAATTTTGTCCGGATTCTGACCTGGGTTACAAAAATCTTTAAAAATGTATTTTTTGTATGCTAGACTAGCTAGGAACTCGTAGCGCAGCTCAAGAAACATAGAAACATGAAAATTCAGGCGTCCTCATCCCATTCTATAACTCTGTCCATCTCGGCCTGGTTTACTCACTTGCAGAACAGTTTGGCCGCTTGGATAAGTTGAGGTGAAGCATGGATCGGGGATCGAGCGGGCAAGGACGTATTCAGAAAATCAGTAACGGAAAGGTCGGGAGAAGGAATGTGTTCAATGTATGTGGGAGGAATAATGAGCGCAGCAGAATGAGCATTGAGTACCGGCTGTGGAAGTATTTTTATATCAAATATTCTTCCCTTCCCAACCCATTCGTGAGGATTAAAGATAGGGGGGTGAACAAGATCGACAGTGTTAACGTTTTTCATGTTAGGAGCGAGTCGAACAAAAATGTTGATTTTATTTTCTGGATTTGCATGTCAAATCAATCAATCTGTCAGCCAATGTCAGCCGCTATCGCACTGAAGCTCAAGCAGTTATGTTGCTTTAAGTAAAAAGCTTGATTCGAACTCCAGCACTTGGATATGACACACTGCTACTATACCTGAGATACCACTGCGTCATTCCGCCATACCTCACCTGCCCAGCATGAACACCATGTCCGGATGGTGACCTGGCTCCCGAAACTCCTCGCAGATGTCCGGATGGTTGACCCAGGTTGACACCAAAATCAGACCTTTTATGTCCGGATTGTGACCTGGGACAAATGACCATTTGACCCGATTTCTGTCCGGATGGAGGACTGGGTTCCATAGGCATTATCAGGGGTCCTCCGTGGGTGCCACCGTGCAGTGTCAGGCACCTGAGTTCGAAAATCATGATGCTTACTAGATGCTTCATTTAAGCTGAAGCTGACTAAGCAGATCATTAGACAAAACAAAGTGATAAAGCGCGTGAGTACTCTGATCTCGTCTTTGAACTATCGTGGTGTACTCGAGATCTAAGTTCTTGTCCTAACGATCTGCGAGAGTTTAAACCGGCGTGGTTTAGGGAGAAGTTATACGAATTTTAGTGCGATGCTTAGAACGAATTTTGCCAGTTTGGGGGGAGGGGTTTCAGTTGCGATGCTCGGTGATTGCCGAGTGATTGTGCTGAAGGTCTCCAGGTGAAAATGAAGATGTCTCGAAGTCAGAGAATTGCTGATGAACCTGGTGAACGCGTTTTTGGTAGTCACGTGACCCGATTAATTGACGCGTTAGCACGAGGTTTTCGAGCTCAAGAATTTTGACTGCGGGACAGAAACAAATCAAGACTGGAGACAACGAGAAGAGAAACAAAAGCAACCAAAGCCTTGAGTGTGAGGTATTTGGATAAAGGATTTGAAAGCAAGACAGGACCCAATCCGAGCAGAGCTCACACACAGTCGTGCTCGAAACCGATGACTCCCCCAAAACAAGCGATTTGCGCTGGATTACAAGAAAGTGCGAATAATTTAGCTATAACGACGTGCGTATGAGTCCATTGACGAATTAATCATAGCCGTACGTGAATCTGAGAATGATGCTGTAACAAAAAGTGGTAAGATTGATTCTATTTTTCGCCAGTATTCTAAAAAGGCTCGTGATTTCCAGCGGCCTTGGACAGCCACGACGTCTGGTGGTACTCCTCACAAGAGAAGTTCTGTTGCTCCACCAATGCGGAAGCAGTGACTGGTGAGTTCTAACAAATTGGCTGATCTCCAAATCTGATTGCAACGCGCCAGGAACCAAGGTTTTGTCATTGCTGCCCATCCACCACCCGCAGTCTCATATGCGAAAAACGGTGCGTCCATGGGAACGGTGATATTGGCTGCGAGATGGTGGTTGATGGCCGTGAATGCGTTTGTGATGTCGTCTAGATTAGAGATAATAACGTCTGCTCCTTCGATATGCGAAGTTTTTGTCCACGGGATTTGTAGGACAGAATATTTGACACCGTCTGAAGGCGAGCAACGGGTGAAGGAGGAGGATCGAGAAACGTGACAAGCAGGGTCAAAGGAGCTAGTACTAACAAGAATGAGTTCGCCGAGCCTGCAGCAAGACCAGAAGGCTGTACATGCAACGGCAAAAACAGATGCGTCAAAGGCATTAGAGAGATCGAGGCTGTGAAAAGTGCATGCATATGTTCTAGTGTTACAGGAGGGCGACGAGGGTGTTTTGACGAGTCAGGGACGACTTTGGCAAGACCAGCAGTGGCCAAACGAAGGATGCTGTGTCCAAACCACGGAGCACCGTGGAGATTATGCCAGAAATGTAAGCTGGCTAGCCAATTTTGTGCTGTCATGGCTGCGACCTTTCCGGCCCAAGATGCGATGAAAGAAGCGAGGAGAAAATCAGATGCAGGCATGCGACGAGCTTCCGGTATGTGCCTTGAATCACAATATTGGTGGAATTGTAATAAGCCAGCACCGTAGTTCTCTCTCGTTTTTGGCTCGATAGAGACCAACATGACGTCAAAAAGCTGCAATATGTCCTCCAAAGGTAACTGTTCCAAGATTGAAAGGCGAAACGAATCTGAGTGAGGTGCAGACCATAAACGGAGGCGGTCACGTGCGAGGACGTGAGGACGGAAGGCAGATGAAGAGAGTTCGTTTCCAATTTTTGGTTTTCTAGGCTTTTGCGAGGGTGTATAGCAATGGGCGGCGCCCCGATTGAAGGAGGCTTTGCCAAGGCCTCCTTCAAAAGGGCCAGAGCTATCATGGCGTCAGTGCGTGATGACACTGATGGTTCTCGGTTACTGGACATAGGGCAAGATGAAGTTAACGAGCTCACTCAGGAGCTTGGGGGAAGGTAAACGAGAAGAAAGAGATCCGACCTCGCCGCGTGAGATAGGGTCAGCTTTGTTCTGAGCTGATTCTGTATAGATAAGGATGTGAAGAACATTTGAGGTCATTGCCAGAGCCTCGACTCGACGGATGCAAAGGTTAACATGAAAGTTCCTGCTCCAGCTGTGTTTAAACGCTCCGATGACTCCTTGGTTGTCTGAGTGGACTATCACTGTCGCGTTCGTCACACCTTGATCGAAGAGTGTTCTTACTGCGAGTTCCACTGCAATGGCTTCTAGCCACCCGATGTCTCATCCGCTTCCTTTCCAGTCTTGACTAAGAGTCCAGGCGTTCCACTTATCTCCTAGAGTGATACCTATACCCCAATCGGTTGAAGCAAACACCCAAAGGTCCAAGTCTTTGGGGGTTCCTCGTGGTGAAAGGCTGCGGGCGCTTGATGGGAGAGACAATGTATTGAACCACCACTTGAGGTTGTTTTTGACCGATGGAGGTGGATGACGGCAGGAGAATTTCGAGTTCGACGGGAAGGAAGCAATGAAGGTGCAGAGGTTGGCGAGATACGCATGGCCATGAGGAATGACGAAGGTAACGTGTGACAATGTGCCGTTGAGACTTATCGCATCTCTACATGAGATGCCCTTGCCCTTGTTCAGCAAGTTGAGCGAGGATGTCAGCTTCCTAAGGTATTTTTGGCGCTTCTCATCAGGAAGTGCGACAGATCGCTGAATCAAGTCCCAAAGAAAGCCCAGATAGATGAAGGTGAAAGCGAAGTCCCGACACTTCTTTGGGTGCCATGGGACTCCTAGTGGCTTTGAAAGTGTGTAGATTTGTGCGAGGCCATGTTTGTATGCGAACGGGGATAAAGAGCTGTCGGGTAGTAGTAATCCGCCACTGATAGCGAATCTGAAGAAGGTATGGTTGTTGACCCATTTCTTTATGGGGCCGAGCTCCAATGAGTCGAGTATGTTGACAGTGGCATCTGCCACATGTCCTTGGACACCTCCTGCCATTGCAAGTCCGAATGGGAATACGTGGTCAATGAATAACTGGCCGTCAACTTCGATGACGAGGAAGCGCTTGTGTTGTGGCCAGACAGGAATAGTACGGTAAGCTGCCTCCACATCAAGCATTGCCGCTTGTGTTCCTGGAGGAGCTGATGCGACCTGTCAACAACTCACCCTTGGCACCACTTTCCTTCTGTTCCCACGGTCTAAGAGACCCGGTTTCGTTGTAGAGCACAACTGGTCTCTGAGACCTGCACCTCCCTAGGGCCTCTCCCTCAGCTCCTCAAGAGGTACAACAGTACCCTCGCAGGTTGTCACTGGAGGGTAGCCCACTCCAGTCCTAGAGGCCTCTCTGAGAGCCCCCAGTATGATGACCCTCTCGTAGCCTCCCATCATTTCTGTCATTACCTATGTTATTTCCTTCACCCAATGCTTATTTTGATGAGAATCATGAGATCTCCATCGATTCAAATTTTCCGATGCACAAAGACATGTTGAGTCTTGGCAGTGTGATCATTTATCCGAGGATTTCATTCCTGTGTAACATTTTTGGTGATCAGGTGAACATTACGAACAAGACAAAAGCAGGCTATGCAGCCGCTATACTGATATTGACATCAAAGATTACAAAACATAGTAGCTACCAATGTACGTGAGGTATAACAGGCAGCCACGACAGCGACAAGTTAACGAGGATAGGCATGAGCAAAATATGACAGGACAGCATAACGACGGGGGAAAGTACTGCAAAACACGGACATGCATTCACGAAGTAAGGTGGGCGTTGGTTAAGAGGGAGGTGCTCGTGGGAGGTTAGCTGCATCACGAGTGGATCGTGGCACGGCATCACGGTCTGTCCACCTTGAATCATAGTATCTTCTGTCTTGAGGGAGTCCTCCATTACGATAAGCACCTGCACCAACTGGACGATAGGTGGGATGCCCACGCTCATCAAGGTCATCGCGTCGACTATATCCAGCTTCACGAGTATAGCCTGCATCAAATACAGGGCTATATCTGCTTGGGTACAGGTGTTCCTGTTCACTGCGACTAAAATGACTAAGGAGATCTGACGCAGGAGAACTATCCCGAGTGCTGAAATCACTCTCCAGCTGTGGGTAAGCACCGTAGCGGGGGGTGACGAGAATCACGTGGGTAGAAGGTATCATGGGGGTGAAGAGAGTCGTGGTCGATAATCGGAGTAACTTCACGCTGATTCTGGACCTCGCGAGGATGCACATGGTAACGTTGGTCATATGGGTAGAGAGGGTCACGCCGGATAGGGTCATGAGGGTCATGCCGGATGGGCTCACGAGAGTTGTGCCGGACAGGCTCACGAAGGTAATGGATGGGCTCACGAGGGTATTGGAAAGGCTCACGAGGGTTCCGGAGAGGCTCGTGAACGTTGCGCGGTGGGTCATGCAGAGGCTCCAAGTTACAAGGAATCTGGGTACCAGGGATATCACGAGGAGGCTCCAGGTCACAAGGAAGATCAGGACGAGGGGCTTCACAAGGAGGCTCTGAATCACCAGGAATATTGGAACGAGGGACATCGCGAAGAGGCTCTGAGTCACGAGGAATATCAGAACGAGGATCATTACGAAGAGGCTCCAAGTCACAAGGAACCTGGGGACGAGGGACATCCTGAAGAGGCCGTTGATTGGGAATAGTAGGTGCGACAGTAGGAGCTTGTTCTTCCTCGTGTGTAACACCCGCTGGTGCTTCATTGTCTAGTGCCCCTTCCTCTGAAACATCTGCCTGGACATGAACTGCAGCAGAGGACTTGACATTGGCACATTTCGAGGTAGGCGCCTTCGCGTCCTTGTCCTCTTCGGACTCAGAGTCCGAGTTGCTATATACCACACGAAGAGCACGCTTCATAGCATACTTGGAACCTTTGGTGACTGGTCGTGGCTTGACAGGTTCTAGAGTTTAGACAATGAGACAAAGAAGTAAAGGGACGAATGAAATAAACCGACTCTTTGTATCCTCCGAGACATTTGAGGGCCCATCTCGAAGTCGCATTACTGTACCTGTAAATTTTGAAATAAGTGGACCCGAATAGATGCAAATGATACTTACTTTCTGGCGAGGCTGCCATGCTTGATGAATCCACTGTCAATGGGGATAGTGGTCCGCCCTTCGTTGGCGAAGCATTTGGTGTCCGCAAGGGAGGACCCTTGGGCTGGGGTTTGTTCTTCGGTCGTGCTCCTTTCTTCCCCACTTCTGAAGCATCAGTCTTCTCTGTCGATGGGGCAAGCTTCTTGGACGCACGCGATGTGTTTTCTGACTTAAGCTTCCTCTTCCCATATGCTGCTTCTTCATATTCTGTGTCGGGTTCTTCAGAGGGTTTCTCTTCATTGGACGTTAGTTCGATAACATCGCTCTGAGCTCGAGGGGCAGCTGGCTCGTTCCGAGCCTGAGGGATAGCTGACCTGGGAACGACTCTGAAAGGATGCGAGGGTGGAAGTGGAGGTGGAACAACTTCCATGCGCATGATTGGTTTCCGGGGGATTGCCTGAGGTGCGCGCTTTGGAGCAGGAAGTTCAGCTCCATCATCGTCGTCGGATTCATCAACAGAAGGTACAGAAGGAAGAGGCACTGTCTTAATAACCGAGGGTCTTATATAAATACGTGTAAGAATGTAATGACACCACAATTACACTGGATAAGACTTCTTGCCAGTCCTCGATTAACACGGTCTACGACTTTTCTTCTTTCGTGGTAGATAACGTGTGAGTTCTTGGGAGGCTCGCTAAACCAATCAGTCAGATTAACTTAGCCGGAGCTTTATTATCTCTGATTGAAACTATGGGATTGTCTAGGATATACCGTCTAGACACTTGAACTGGTTTCCTGAATATACGGTTAACTGTTGAGAAGCTGGTCTCAAATGTGACTACGTGGACCAAAGCTCGTGTTGGTCAATATACAAATACAGTGGCTCAAAAAACCGTCCGTATGTTTTGGCATTTTTCACTATCTATAATATTGTGTGAGAACAAACAAATGCCTCAAAAACATGCTTATACCACATTGTAGTATGGCTTCAGGGCTTTCATTTGAGCCCTACACCGTGGGAATCGGTGGAGATATGGTGGAGATACAAGGCTCACAAAATGGTGACTCATGCGGACAGTTTTTTGACTCAAGTATTTTACAGTAATAACCAGGTATTCTAGTATTTTGTATGACCTCCCTTGGCTTTTAATTACTGCCTCTATCCTTCTAGGCATACTCTCAATTAATTTCTGGCAATCCTCAGCTGTGATCTTCCCCCATTCCACTGCTACTCTCTCCCAAAGCTCCCATACTCCTTTAGGGGGGTTTTCATAGGCTTGAAGCTTTTTCTTGAGTGTTCCCCAGAGATGTTCAATGACATTGACATCAGGAGACTGTGCTGGCCAGTCAAGAACATTGATGTTATGTTCTTCAAACCATTCCCTAGCTCTTCTGGATGTGTGCTTGGGATCATTATCCTGTTGGAAAATGATATCTTCTTCATCAATCCCTGTGTCACAACCCTTTAAACGAATTAACGCTAGGGCAGAGACTAGGACTCAAACTAAGGTTATCTAACAAAGAAGAGGGGATAGCAGGGACGTCTTAGGATTGCTAGCAGTAAGCTAATACAAAAGAGGTTTGAACTGAAGAACTACTGACTACAACGAGCTACCTATATACATATATTGAAGCGGAGACTGAATCTGAATCTGAACTAACTAACCAATCATTAAATAGAAAAGGGAATCGTACGATGTTCTAAATATAACTACACTATGATGTCATGGAACGTGTGATAGCTGTGCAAGGGTTCTCGAAGGTTCTGGAGTCACGTGACTTAATAGCTTGAGTAAGGAAGTCGAAATCAGGGATGTCTGAGATAGAAGTAGTGGGCGCTAATGGAATGGAGAAGTTTGGGTTAGGGTTTGTGAAGGTTATGGTACAGACGCTGACTGAGCGCTAACGACGGGCGTTTGTGACGGGCGCTTAACGGGTGTTTACGAGTGTTCAAGAAAGAATAATGATTTGTATTTGGAATTCGTGACATTACCCCCCTCTCTAGGATGAGCGTCATCGCGAATGTAGGATGGTCGGATATTTTTCTCTCTCCACTGTTTGAATGCATCCGTATCCAAATAGATCCAAGAATTCGTTTGGATTTGGCAGCCGTGGGATTCTTCTTATGGAATTCCGCAATGAGAATCGGGGAGTTTTTAACGTTTTCTTCTGGCTCCCATGTCGACTCTTCTATCGGATATCCTTCCCATTTTACTCGGTATTGCACTTTTCCTCGGAATTGTCGGCTATCTAGTACTTCTTCTACGACAAATTCTTCCTGATCGTCAACAATGTCTGGAGGTGGTCGGGTGGGTTGAGAATGAGGAATCAATCGAGATGCGTGGTATGGAGTAAGCAATTCTACATGGAAAACCGGGTGAATCTTATAACTTTCTGGCAATTTCAATTTATAGTTCACTTCGCCGGTCTTCTCTAGTATTTCGAAAGGGCCCAAGACGACGATCTGACAACTTTTGACTTGGACGACGTTGTTTAATGTTTTTTG